TGAATGTAGTCCATAATTCACAATTGCTTGTTTAAATTCTTTCAGATCATTCATACATATAGGCTCCCATGTATGTTCTTTAATGACCTTAGGGTTTTTGAAGCCAGTTATCTTTTCTGATGTTATTACTGGAAAGGCAGGTATAACTCTGTGTAGACTCAGAGTTTTCGGAGGTAAATGTTGCCTTTCTACCTTTTGCTCCTGTTCATCAGAGTCTATGATTTCCTCAATCTTATTAAATATGCTCACCATTGCCTTCTGTAAGTCCTGAATCTCCTGTCCAGTATTATGCTCCAAAGCCTTCATTAACAAGTCTAAGGCATGGAGCTTGTCCATCAGAGACACCATTTCCTCCCTGGACACTATCGCCTTCATTGATAATTCTAAGGCGTGGAGCTTGTCTGTTAGAGATACCATATCCTCCTTGGACATAATCCTCATGACATGTACTGTGCCTTCTTATATGGAAATCCTGCCATTAATCTATCATACCCTTTTGATAAAGTCCAATTTTCACATTCAATTGTCTTAATCCTCTCAGCTAATGTTTCAGCACTTACAGTCACGGACTGGAGGTTACGAGTCATTTTGGTTGTCTCCTCTTTGAGAACTCCAAACTCTGATCTAGTCTCCTCTTTGAAAACTCCAAACTCTTTTTTGAGGAGGTTGGTGTCAGTCTGAATTGTCCTTAAGGTTTTAATCTCTGCCCTCAGCATTGTATATTCAATCTGTAAGGACTGAATCATCCTTATAAAATATCCAAACACCAGAAAAGCGACAAGTCCCAGAAATAACCAAGTAAGAGGAATATCAGAAATCTCATGGAGGATATCCTCCATGGCGCAATTAAAAAGGCCATTGAATTTTTGGATAATAATATTTTCTGACATGTTCAATCAAAAGAAATTGTATTTATTTATTTGTTTTCAACTGAAAAGAAAAATCTTACCTGTAATGACCCTTGTCTGCCAGTAAGCAGTGGGGGCACACCTGAATCCACGTGGCAATGGCGCCGACCCGGAAAGCAAATTCTAAAATATATACTCTCAAATCCAAAGGTTAAATTCACAGATCGAGTGCTGGGGGAAGACAGTGCCCAATGGGGGTAGCAAAAGCCAAGGAAGTTAGTTGCGCGGCCCCACGAATGCGGCTAGGAACTGGCTAGACCCCAGGTGTAGTGTGTACTCAGGCCGCTAGGCCCGCGCCACGAGGGGGAAAAAGGCCCACATTCGGGCGCCAGATGAAGCCACAGGGTGATTGGTAATGAAAAGTCCCCAGACTATCTTGATACAAAATATACAGCTTTAATAAACAGAAGTAAGACTTACAACAGCTTACACCAGAATCCAAATGATCCGTCCAGACGCAGGAGCCAGGAGAAAAGAGAGCTAGCAGAGCGAGTGTGCTTGCTAGGTTTATAGGCAGGCTTTACCCTGAGGGCGGCAAGCCCCAAAAACAGAATGTGATTGGCTGAACTTCCCTATCAGTATCCCACATCAAACACCCCACAAAATCTTTCAGGAGTTACATTTGAAGGTCGCATACCACTTCTTAAGTAAGTGATTAAAATCATAGTCACCCTGATATCTCACATGCAGTAAATCTAAATAACTTGACACAGAGCAAGGAAGGATCATTTTGCCCAGTTAGTTCCGTAATTGGTAGACTGTAACTTACAGCTGTAAGGAAAGGATCAGTCACATTATTACCTGTCTTGAGAGGTGATCTTATGAGGGATTTTAAAGGAATCATAAGCCTAAACTTCTGGAGTGTCCCAGAAAAAAAAATGTGTACTTGGAACATATCTGAGTATATCAGCTGCTTTGACCTTCTGCCCTGTATTCTCCCATGGAGGAAAAAGGCCATTTAAACTAGCTCATGACTAAGTAAGCATTTTGAACTGATATTCTGTAATAAAAAATTGTAAATTTTGAATTATCTCAGACTCAGAGAGTGCAGTGTTTCTATGTATTCTTTGAGTCAGTTATGAATTTTTTATTTGGCAATCCTGTACAATAAAAGAACTTCTGGAGGCATCACAATCACTGACTTCAATCTCTACTACAGAGCTACAGTACTGAAAACAGCCTGGTATTGGCATAAGAACAGACAGGAGGACCAATGGAACTGAATAGAAGACACACACATATCAATCCTCCCGTCTTGGAACACCTGATTTTTTGACAAAGAAGCAAAAAATATCAAATGGAATAAAGAAAACATTTAACAAGTAGTGCTGGCATAACAAGTAGTGCTGGATATCAACATGTAGAAGAATGAAAATAGACCCATATCTGTCATCATGCACAAAACTCAAGTCCAAATGGATCAAAGAACTGAACATAAAGCCAGCCACACTGAACCTGATAGAAGAGAAAGTGGGAAGAAGCCTTCAATGCATGGGCACAGGAGACCACTTCCTAAATATAACAACAGCAGCAGCACAGACACTGAGAGCAACAATATGTTAATGGGACCTCCTGAAACTGAGAAGCTTTCATAAAGCAGAAGACACAGTCAATAATACAAAATGGCAGTCTAATAAATGGGAAAAGATCTTCACCAAAACCACATCAGAAAGAAGACTGATATAAAAAATATATAAAGAACTCAAGAAATTACATATCAAAATTCCAAATAATCCATAAGAAGAGAAGGTGGGAAATACGCTTGAATGCAATGGCATAGGAGACCACTTCCTATATATAATTTCAAGCAGCACAGACACTGAGTGAAACAATTAATAAATGGGACCTGTTAAAACCGAAAAGCTTCTGTAAAGCAAAGGACATGGTCAACAAGACAAAAGGGCAGCCTACAGAATGGGAAAAGATCTTCACTAACCTCAAATCAGACAGAGGTCTGATCTCCAAAATATACAAAGAACTCAAGAAATTGGTCGTCAAACAAACACATAATCCAATAAAAAATGGAGTTAAAGACCTAAAGAGAACTCTCAATAGAATCTAAAATGGCTGAAAGGCATGTAAGGAAATGTTCAACATCCTTAGTCATCAGAAAAATGCAAATTAAAACAATTCTGAGAGTCCATCTTACACCCATAAGAATGGCCAAGATAAAAACACTGATGACAACTTACGCTGGAGAAGTTGTGGGGAAAAGGGAACACTTCTGCATTGCTGGTGGGAATGCAAGCTGGTACAACCTCTTTGGGTGTCAGTGTGGTGATTTCTCAGAAAATTAGGAAACAACCTTCCTCAAGACCCAGTGATATCACTTTTGGCTATATATTCAAAGGATGCTCAATCATGCCAAAAAGACATTGCTCAACTATGTTCATAGCAGCTTTGTTTGTCATAACCAGAACCTGGAAACAATCTAAATGCCCCTCAATGGAAGAATAGATAAGGAAAATGTGATACATTTACACAATGGAGTACTACACAACAGAAAAAAAACAATGACATCTTGTATTTGCAGGAAAATGGATGGAGCTAGAAAACATTATTCGGAGTGAGGTAACCCAGACACAGAAAGACAATTATCACATGTACTCACTCATAGGTGGTTTTTAAACATAAAGCAAAGAAAACCAGCATACAAACCACAATCCCAGAGAATTTAGATAACAATACAATGCTAAGAGAGATTTACATTGATATAATCTACATGGGAAGTAGAAAGCATAAAAAGACAAGATCTCCTGAGTAAATTGTGAGCATGGCACCTTGGGGAAGAGTTAAAGGGGGGTAGGTAGGGAGGAGAGCAGAGAAAAATGTAGAGCTCAATAAGAATCAATAACAAAAGATTGAAAAAAGAAAGTAAGAGAAAGGGAAAAAAGTAAACCAGGAAAAATGAAATGTAAAAAAAATGATGTTAGGTCCTTTAAAAAGTGTAAAAATGTATTTTTTTTGGTTTGGGCTCAGATTACCATAAATCTGTTCATATTAGCTCAATTGCCATTCAACAAGGTAATAGTCATGCTAAATCCATTTCAAATCATAAAATATATTTTCTGTATTGTGTGTGGCATTAAACCAAGAAAATGGAAACTTGCAACTTTTTCTCAGGACTACTAAATCAAATTATTTTCTGTATATAAAAACAGTTAGTTTGCTGAACTTTGAGTCTTCATGATACATGCCCATATAAGAAAACTGAGGTAAGGAACATGTGAGGAGAGTTAATCACTGTCCTAGGTTGCCAGTCAGATCTAGCAAAAGATGTTGCATGTAGCACTTAGGTTGCTCTGCACTTTTAACCTTAGTTCAACAAATCAGAAAGCTGACTATATGTCCTTGGAAACAAAATTGTCTTTCTGGGAATTATCTTAAAAACCATTAGCAAGGCACCTGATCTAATTTAAAGCTATTCTGAAGCTATTGCCCAGCTGGTCTGGTAGTTGGGGAAAATTAGGATATTTTTACAGGCATTTGGCTGTGTATCATTTTACTTGCATTTTTATTCATTAAAATTCTGTTTAAGATAACATTATTGATATCAATTAGACAATACAGCTTAAGCAGGAGTATTCTTCTTGACAATCCACAGATAAAAATGCCCAGTAGGTCAGGATATATTCATGAGATAAACATGCTATGATGCAGAGAAATTTGCAGTTGCACAAGTGAAGATACAGACAGAAGTAAAAAATATTCTGGAGTCTCTAGCGTGGCTTGGGTTAATGAGGTTTCCCATCAGAGAATGTCTTTCTGGTAGGTTGACACCTTAACTATTAACTATCATCTGCTGCTCCTTTGACAATGGCATCAACACATTCAGACTGAGTCAGAAACAGACACAAAATAGGCACACAGAATGCTATGATAAGGATGTAGATGAGAAACCACCCAGGAAAGGATCCAGATGTTGGAGCAAAGGAGCAGGTAGAAGCTGGTGAATCCTGGGGATGGCATATTGAGGGCAGGTGCTCAGGCAGATAGAAACCTATTCTGCCTTGTGGGTCTGTGCATGTCAGACCATGCACACATGAATCACGTCTCTCATTGTCTTCTCTACGAAATATCTCTCTCCCTCAGGTCCAGGTGGACTCCAATCACTAATGACACTTGGAAGGTTCTCTTCTTCAATCTTGAGTTCACAGGAAGTCTGCAGGAGCTGGACCTAAGTGGAAACCCACTGAGCCACTATGCAGTGAGGAGTCTCTGTAGGACACTGAGGTGCCCTGGATGTCAACTAAGGACATTGTGGTGAGTCTGGTTTGGGTTCTTCCCTGAAGCAGAGATGGATGCAGAGAACAGAGGCAAAAGCTGGGTCTAGGATGAAGTTTCATATTCATTACAGACTCACCAAAGCCTCTGACCACACCTGTAACAGTGGCCAGAATGTTATGATAAAGAAATGGAAAATGGATTCTATTCTTAGAGATCATGAAATACTGACATTCATCAAGGACCCCCACTAGTTATTGCTAACAACAGGACCATGAGGGCTCCAGTGGAGCAAACATGCTGAGGAAGTGGCTGCGGGAGAACTGAGGAGCACAGAGGAGGAGGCTAAATGAAGCAGAGGGAAGAAAGCTCCAGGCCAGGGAATGACACCCCCACTTCCTCCTGTTTTCTGCCCTTGTAACCAGCCTTCTGTTCTGTTTCTATGGACTCCATCTTTACTAAGATTTCACATGACTAGTGAGATCATGCCCTGTTCTATGGCTGGTGAATGACATATCAGATGGCTCTTGAAAATCACCAGTCAGCTGTCCTGGGTCTCATGGAGGTCTGTCATGGCCAGTCACAGCAGAGCAGTGGGTCTCAACCTGTGCTCCATGATTCTGCAGCCCAGTCCTGGGAAGCATAGAATTATCCACCGAGACTAGAAAAGGGACTAGAAAAGCTAAACACTGCTAACATCGCATGCCAGGGCTCACAAAGGGAGACCTGAGCTCAGTTCCCAAGAGCAGTGATCCTTGGAGAAGCTGATGGTGAGCATCTCCCATACAGGCTTGTCAATTGTGGCCTCACATCCAGCCACTGTGTGGACCTGGCCCCAGTGCTCAGTGCCAGCTCCAGCCTGTCTGAGCTAGACCTGCAGCTGAATGACCTGGGAGACCATGGTGTGAGGCAGCTGTGTGAGGGGCTCAGGAATCCTGCCTGCAACATCACAATCCTGCAGTAAGTAAGATCCTAGATTTCCATTCTAGGCAGGGGCAAAATTAGGGACATGGGTGTGTGAAGAATATGGGATATGGAAAAGAAATGGGACACATAATGCATAGTCAACATGGTCCTGACCAGCTGTGCCATTTATACCTGAGACTTGGGCAAGTCACCGTATTCTTTAAAATTCAGTTTCCTCGTCTATCAGGTGGAATGTCACACCCAACTCATGGATTCTAATGACATAAAGTGTACATATGTAAAAACAAAGAAAATCCCAGGTAGGTAGCTGGGCACTGTGCAGTCATATGTATTAGCAAGGCTATTACCTTACCAGACTCACATTTTTGACTTACTCCCAGACAGTAATTCAATCATTTATTCATTCATGAATACATATGTTTATGCATCCATATCAAGGACCCTCTGTGCTAAGCACTTTTTCAGGACCTAGGAATATAATTACAAACACACATGGCTCTGTCCTACTAGAGCTGTGTGGGAAGAGACAGACAGAGGTAACCCATTAGACTATGACTATATTTACAAACTCTGCTGAACGCTGTGGAGTCAACAGTATTGTGAGAATGTATTGTTGTAAGAGACCTAGGCCTGATAGAGAAATATGCTTTGGTTGGACCAACGTTGAGACAGCAGTCTAGGCAAAAGAAGAGTTGAAGAAAGCTCTAGAATAGAAAGTGACTGAAGCCTTAGAGGGTCATGGGGTTCACTACAGGAGCTTGACATGGTACTCTGTCCAGAATGCCAATGGGAATGTGATCATGACCTCCATCTACTGAAAATGCTGATAGCAACTCTGTGACCCATTGTCAATATGAGTCCCCCATCTACGTCCATGTTCCTATCCCTGGGAGAGTCTATTTCCAGTGACTGACCTGTGGGAAGGGGTATAAAGGGCCACTCCCTTATTTGATCTCTGGAAAGTTCCAAAGGTCCTCTTCCTGGGTTCAGATCTCCCTGAACACTAACCAGCCCCACTGAGACTGTGTCATGGACACATCTCTGTCTGCTAAGTCTGCTGTTCTCCATTTCTTTGTCCTAGATTTGGCTCAAGGATAAATTTAATAAAGCCCCTCACTTTCCATCTACAGACAACAGAGTCTAAGATCCTGGACCCTAAGGCATCATGAGCCTGTGGTGGATCCCAGAAAAAATTAGTCCCCTTTTGTGCTTGCAGGCTGGACCTGGCTCCTCTCGGTGACCCAATGATAATGGAGCTCAGGGCCCTGCAGGCAGAGAATCCACAACTGCTCATCTCCAGCACATGGTAAGGGGTAGACACGTAATTCCTACTGGTCAACTTCAGTTATATGTGAATGGTCCATGACTGTGGTGGGAAAGGTGTCCTAAGATGATGGGAAGAATAAGAGTCAGGAAGAAACCAGGAACCACAGAAGGGTTCTGTGTGTTGGGGAGGTTTCATTTAGTATTTAGCAAAAATAGAGTCATATAACATGACTATATAAATTCTTTGATCAGAAAAAAGAATATGAATGTAAGTTAGTGGTGAGTCCTCAGGGCACAGCAAGTATGACAATGGTAGGCACCAGTAGACCTAAACACTGGAACAAGGAAAACCGAAAGTGCATTTTCAAAAGATACAAAAATTCTCAGAGAACAAAAGCCACCATGGGTATCACTGCCCCAGTTTTAAAACTCAGACACATATAAACACAGGATCATGTGAATGTCACACACACATAGACACACACACACACACACACACACACACACACACACACACATTGCACTATGGAATAGAGAGCCTCAGGGCTGGAAAGTCATTTTTCACCTCCAGGTGCAGTGTTGAAGCCCCATGCTCTCCCAGTTTAGTCAATTTCAGTTCACGACCATGAATTCCATTTGTCCTCAGGTTTCTAGCTGCCACACGTGGCAGGGAGGGTCTCTACATAGGATATGATCTATTTATTGAACAAACATTTGTGCAAGACCCATTGTGCATCATACACTGTTTTGGGATCTGAGGACACATCAGTGAGCAAGGCAGACACACCCACCATTTATTATCTCAGTCCAGCAGCAAGGGGACACTTGTTCCCCACAGTCCACAGAATTGTACCTGGGAACCCTGTGAGTGCAGTGGTGGTATGTCTGACTTCATCTGCAGCTGAGGTGAGCTGAGGTGAGCTCTGAAAAATGAGAATCATAGGGTTGATAGGAGAAGAAAAAAATTTCAGGAAGAAATAGAGGATAGGGAATCAGAGAAAGAAGAGTTCCACTGAGAGTCAGGAAACCCTGTATGGACGCCATCAGCCTCAACATGACCTGAGTGCTCCACAGGAATGCAGGTTCTCAGGCCACACTCCATCCCCGCTGACTCAGAATCTCAGATGGAACAGCTTCCATCAGTGAGCTTTCTGATTTAGCAGGCTGAGCATGTTACACTTTAACACAGTGATTTGAAAGTCACTGGTCTAGATTTCAACAAGAAAGGGTAACATAAGAAGGCCTGGAGGAGAACAGGGGCCACAATCAGAATTATAAACTACCCTAAGAACCTTCTGTTTCTCCCCAGAGAAAATGAGAGGCACTTCAGCACCTCAGTCATGAAGGGACATCCTTCCCCATTTTTTTATGCTCAGCTACTATGTAGAAAACAAACTATAAGGGACCAGATCAGAAGCAGGGATGCTGCAGAGGATAGGAACAATGTTCACACCATCCAGGGACAAGGGTGGAGTCTATGGAGGGGGGAGAGTTGAACAGATAGGAGAGAGATTTAGAAGGTCCTGACTAGGTGCTTAGCATTCAAGGTGAGTGATTGTTTGTTTGTTTTATGCTGCCATAACACAATATCTGACATTGGGAACTTAACATCAAGAATTGAGATTATTTTTGCAGTTCTGGAAACAGGGAAGGGCCAGGCCATGGACCCTACATCTAGAGAATCATTCTTCCTCTTCCATCTGAGTGTGCAACTGAAAGGACTGAGAGTGAGAGACCAAGGTGGCTTTTGTGACAAGTCCTGTCAGGGCACAGGAATCTACTCCTGTGATGATGTCATTAACCCCTTCATGACAGCAGAGCACTCATGACCTCATTGTGTCTTATCCTTCACCCTGTCACACTGTTGCATTGGGGGTTATCCTTCTAATGAGAAAAGACTGAGGAACATACTCAACTTAAAGCAAATTAGGGGTTGAGATGAACTCTGTTCTAGCAGCATGGATGCCTGAAAGGATGGGGACTTCATAGAGTTCTGGCCCAGAGAAGAAGCATGGAACTGAGTTCAGATTCAGATGAGTTGGATTTTATGTTAGGATATTATGTATACAGCCCTGTTTTCCATGGTTTCTCCTGACATCTGAGGGAAAGAACATATCTGTATGTAGGAAGCCACATTTGATGATCCCTACTAAGAACCTGGATGGAGAAGGAATGGGTGACATGCTGACCTCATTCAAGCAGCAGAGACCACAGTCAGGTATGTGAAGGGTTTAGATCCAGACCATCATGTATGCCAAATAAAGGGGAATTTATGGGAGGAAGACATCTTTCTTTTTTATTTTTCTTTAGAATTTAATACACAAGTACTATATTTACATCATTTCCAGCCCTGAGTCTGCCTGCTTCAACAACTCTGTTCCCCACCAACAAACTCTGTCTCAAATTCATGAGCTGTTCTTAAGTATTACTGTTAATTACATGTGTATACATATGTATACATAACTACAACTTGATGAATCCATTTGGTGTTGGTCATTTGTATGTTTTAGGTTGACCACTTGGTACTAGATAGCCTATTAGGAAACTCTTCCTCAAGAAGACTGATTTTAACCCTCTCCTACCAGCTATTAATTGCTTGTAGGTTTTCTTTATTTTTTAAACTATTTTTTTCTCATTTTACATGCCAAATTCATTTCTCACTCTCTCCCCTCCTCCTTCACCCTGCACCTTCCCCCTCCTACTCCTGATTCCACAATCCAGCCACTCCTCAGAGAGAATAAGCCTTCCCATAGAAGTGAAGAAAATATAGCCCATTGCTTTGAGGCAAGACCAAGCCCCTTCCCACGATATCTAGGCTATGCAAGGTATCCCTCCAGGGAGAATGGGTTCCAAAGAGTCAAAACATTCAGTAAGAATAAATCCTGGTTTCATTGCCAGTGGCACCACAGTCTGTCCCAGCCATACAACTGTTACCCACATTTAGAGGACCTAGTTTGGTCCTATGCTGGTTCAGTCACTGTCAGGCCTGAGTTGGAAGGCTTACATTATTAGCTCAGGTAAGTTGCAAAATTGGGTATCCTCATCAGGGTCTTGACCTCTTTGCTCGTATTTTCAATCCTTCCTCTCCTCGACTAGACTTTGGGAGCTCAGCTCAGTGCTCTGCTGTGATTCTCTCCATCTGCTTCCATTATTTGCTGGATGTAGGTTCTATGATGACATTTAAGATAGTCGTCAGTCTGACTACAGGGCAAGGCCAGTTCAGGCACCCTCGCCACTACTGGTTGGGGACTTCGCTGGGGTCATCCTTGGGAATTCTTGGGAATTTCTCTAGTGCAAGGACTGTTCATAGCAGCATTATTCATAATAGCCAGAACCAGGAATTAATCTTCAACTGAAGAAAAAAAAGAAAATGTGGTGCATTTAAACAATGGAGTACTACTCAGAAGTTAAAAAATAATGACCTCTTTAAATTTGCATGCAAGTGGATGGAACTAGAAAAACTGCCGTGAATGAGATAACCCAGACCCAAAAAGATGAACATGGTATGCACCCACTCATAGGTGAATACTAGCTATAAAGCAAAGGATAAGTAACCTATAGTTTGCTGTGGGACAATGGTCTGTATTCTGTCAATTATATTTTAAATAAATGCTGATTGGTCAGTAGCCAGGCAGGAAGTATTGGCAGGACAACCAGACAGGAAGTAGAGGCGGGTCAAGGAGAACAGGAGAATTCTGGGAAGAGGAAAGCTCTTTCTGTAGTCCTGTCCCAGCCACAGAAGAAACAAGATGTGACTGCCTTGCCAAATAAGGTACTGAGCCATGTGGCTAACACAGATAAGACTAATAGGCTAATATATGTTGTAAGAGTTAATAATAAGCCTGAAATACTGGGCCGATCAGTTTATAACTAATGAAGAACTCTGTGTTATTTCTTTGGAACTTAATGACTGTGGGGAACAAGCAGAACAGAAAACTCAGACAGCAATAGTTTAAGACCCCAGGGAAGCTAAGAAACAAAGAGAATCCTAAGAGATACATTCAAAGATTCCCCTGGGAAGGGAAAATAGACAAGAGCTCCTGACAAAATTGGGAGTGTGGGGGTGTGGGGAAAAAGGAAGATGAAATGGGAGTTGGAGGGGAGAAAGGGAGCCTGAATGAAAACTAGAGAAAATGGAATGGTCAAAATGGGAAAAGGACAGAGACAGAGAACAATGAAAGAGACATCTTGATTGAGGGAGCCATTTTGGGGCTAGCAAGAATGTTTATGTATTTTTATTTAGGAGTGGGGCATTATGAGATCTCTCCCATCCACATTAGCCTGTCAACTAGTTTCTGTCACTGTGAAGATCTTGTTGAGGCAGAGATATTGTTGGGATTTCATTGATGGATTATCCCAGTCATATACAAAACAAAAATAAATTATCTGCAACAGATGCTGTGGAAGTAGTCATCGTTTGTATTCCTCTGTCTTTCACATGGAACCGTACAAGCTCTCCAATAAGAGCACCACCCCTTGCAAGACATTCCACACTTAGAAACCAGAGGGAATACTGTTTGCTTCTTTCCCAGATTTTGTGGGCTGCTGAAGCCCCATTCGCAAGTCTGTGACTTGCATTCAGCTCTATACCAGAGCTCTGTGTCTCATTCCTAGCTGTTATGTCCTGGGACTTATCTCCTTATTCCTGCTCACCATATTATGAGCGATCTTCTTTTATTTTTTATCATACCATGTGGGACATTCTAGAAAAATCAACACTTATGGACCAGTAAGAAAGAAAACACTGCAGCTGGCATGGAGGCAGGTATTATGGTGGGATAGTTGCTTAAGAAGCACAGCAGAAAGACATACACACACACACACACACACACACACACAGTTTATTATATACAATATATATTAATATATTAATTTATATGTAAATGGAAAGCATGCAGGTAGCCTGATGAGCAGTGATAAAATCTTCAGGCATACCTCCTGCTAATACCTAGGCTAGAAACCTGAGTTCAGTCATGGTCCAGCACTGGGAAAAGCTGGGGAGGTGAGTCTGAACAACACAGACTGACCTCTGCCTGGCCTTTTCTAAAGGAATGATGTTCATAATTTACACCACTATTGACCTTTTACCCATCTTCCCCTGCCTCTCCAGATCACAAACACATGGAACCACAGGATACTGAAGATGACTTCTGGGGCCCTACAGGACCTGTGGCTACAGAGGTGATTGACAGAAAAAGGAACCTGTACAGGTGAGTGAGCTCTGCCTAGAAAAGTTGACTTTCCCCAGCACACTCTCCACACTTTTTAAAACCTATTTACATTCCTCCTTTGTCATCACTGTGACAGTAGTGTGAATCTAGGACATGAGATTTTACCCACATACATTTCCCTATCCCTATGCCTCCATTTTAGTTCAGATAGGACCTTGTCTTCCATAACCAGCACACCATTACCACATCAGCAGAGCTGTCCTGAATCCTTCATTCCATCTAAATGGTCTGTTCTCAACTTTGCTCATGATCTGAAATGTGGACTTTCTGCTGGTTGTTTTATTCATGGTGTAAGCAGCATCCCTGCAATCATTATATTTGGTTTCTTCAGTTTCTTAAATTTCTATTAAATCCCTGTAGTCTCTGCACTCCTGCTTACTAACAACCACTATGTGCCAAGAACCCACTAGAAGTTGAGAACAAAGGGATGCGTACTGAATCATTGACCTCTGAGAATTTGTCTCATGAGTGATAAGTGACTATACCCACAGTCACGGTATCCAACATAACCTGGATCCTCCTCCAACACTGTCACAGTGACTGTCTCAGCTGAGAAACTGTCACTTTAACTTCTTCCCACAGAAGATGACTCCTGTCCACCCACCAGTCACCAGGCAGGAAGAAAATCTCTGAAGATCTTGGTAAAGCATTGTTTCAGGGCCAAGGATTTATCACTAATAATTGCATAGACTCTTATCTTAGGGAAATATATCCTTAAGAAATATAAACACTAAAATCTGAAAGAAGATGTACCTTTGTAGTAGAGCCCTTGCCTAGTGTGCACAAGGTCCTACACTGAGCCTTCACACGTGCGCACACACACACACACACACACACACACACACACACCACTTTCATCACCATCATCATCACAGGAATAGCTAACTTCCCCAGGTGTGAGACACCTGTAGGTTTACTCTAGAACACTCAGTACTCTCAGGTCTAGAAGACAGTGTTGTCATTACCCCTGTTTATAGATGAAGAAACAGATTTGGGGGTTAAATGAATTATTTAGTCAGGGATCCACCCACAGATCACAGAGAAAACAGAACTCAGAGTCATCTGGCTTAAGTCTGTGTGTCCCCAATACTGTACCTGGTCTGCATCCAGTAGGTGAACAGAGCTGATGTTCACTGGTGTCTGCCTCTCCCTATTCTAGAGTTGAGTTCCCTGTGGCTGGTTCCTACCACTGTCCCAACATAGGACTCCACTTTGTGGTAACAAGGGAAGTAACCATTGATATTGGATTCTGTGCCTGGAGCCAACACCTGGACAAGACTCCCTTTCGTGTCAGTCACATGGTGGCTGGACCTCTGTTTGACATCAAGGCTGAGAAGGGAGCTGTGGCTGCTGTGTACCTCCCTCACTTTGTGAATCTCCAAGGTAACCAAGGGAAGCATAAGGAGTAGGGTAGAGGCCAGGCAGTGATGGTGAATAGCTTTAATCTCAGCATTCAGGAGGTTAAAAACAGGCAGATCTCTGTGAGGTCAAGGCCAGTCTGGTCTACAAAGTGAGTTCTAGGACAGCCAGGGCTACAGAGAAAAACCATGTCTCACAAAAAGGAGTTGGGTGGTGGAAATGGAGGAGTTGAGAAGTCATATAGTACAGCATAAGGTGTTGGGTGATGAGGAAAGGTCTATGCCTTCGTTAGCAGGGCAAAGCAGGTTATGGAGGTAGACACTGAGATGTTTGGTCATCCCTTTTTCTATGATGTATCTTCTTTGAAGCACATGTCTCCGAGCCTTATACTTTATTTCTATATTAACTAAAGGAGACCTTGAGTGGAAAATGATGTTCTCAGTAACTATATTAGCTGGTGATTAATAAGCGATCCATACACAGCATATCTTACAAGACTCCAGCAGTAAATAGAGAATAAATTGAGCAATGTAAAGAGATTGTTAGAGAGGAAAATAACAAGGATCATTTGGTACCCAAGATTTACCAACACTCTACTACATTGCTACAAGCAGGGAGAAAATGATGTCTTCAGATTAAATTTAAGAACTAGATCCATAGAATGGTGGTGTCCCAAGGAAAGAGGGGGACTCATAAATTATCCCAACCTCAGTCATCACCAAAGATTCCTTCAGAAGATATTTTAATAAATATATGATTTCCCGTGAAAGATCTCATGTGAAAGCCATTACTACAGCTCTCTGGAGGCTGAGACAAAAGAATTTGGAATGCAAGAGCAGGTTAGACTATATAGCCAGACTCTGCTTGAGAAAGAAAAAAAACAACATCAAAGAACCTGGTGTTGTCCAAGTTGCTATTGAGATCAGTTAATTCTTTGGCTACAAGGAGCCCAGGAATAAACCCACCATAGACACCAGGAGAATCCAGCTCACAGCAGAAGATGTTCTTGTTATAAAAGTGATGAACAGCCACAAGAGGGGAAACCCAACAGCTAAAGTAGTATGTAAATGTAGAAGAGAAACACAGGCTGCTCCAGCCAATAGGAGAACAATGAATAGAAAACAAGTTAAGCATCCCTGGGTTAAAGATATTCATAGTTAGCAGCAAGCCCACAAGAAGAAAAAAAGCAGATGAAGAAATCAAGCAGGACTAAGTTGAAAACCTCAAAAACAAATAAAAATAACAGTGACATGCACACACATAGAGAAGGGGAGCACTGCTACACGGATGGGGCCTCCTAATGTGTCCGTGGTCAGTTCAGCAGCTCCACACCGAGCTCCTCATCTCCCCAACACCTGCCCCACTCTCCACTCAAGCTTCTTCCCTAGAGGCCACCATCTTTTCTGTTTCTTTCTCTCACTCTCAGATCAGACAAATTCCCCACTGGATACTGTAAGGAAATGATTCTGTTACACTGTATGGAAGCCATAATGCATATGTGAAGGAGTCCCAGGGCCATGTGGTGGCACATACCGTTAATATCAGAATTTCCAGGGCTAAGGCATGAAAATTATGATTTATGTCCACAAATATGCAGTAAGTCCCTGTTTCTAAAACCAAAAATGAGAAAAGAAAGAACTTGTTAAGTCAGCTTCTTGGTTAAAAAAAAAATTCTGGTATTAACAATGAAAATTCCAGCACCACACATTACCCTCAAGTCCTGGGAAGGTCCTGATTAGCATTTACTCTATAAAAAGTCCTAAGTTATTAAAACATTTCAAATGCCATATTTTGAAGATCTCTGAAAGATTTGAAGAATATCTGTGTAACTGAGATATATGTCTATATAGAGAAAACCTAATTAACATGACTACAAGCTTGACTACTATAGATGACTCTCTATTAACCTATGTTTTTAATTATATGTTATATTTTTAAATGAGCTACACAAACACAATACCTTAATCAAGAGCAGAAATACATATACACGGTATAATAAAATCGACCTCAAATTTGTATCTATAAACCAAGATCCATACCAATGCAGAGTACTCATCTCTATATCATATCCCCATTTTAAATGTAAACAAACATTTACAAACAATATTTGTGGATATGGGCATAGTTTACAACAGCCCTAGAAACAAGAGAAGGTGGAGAGGCACAGAATCTCCCCAAATTTTGTCAAAATTGGCAAAGCACAAAGCATGGGAAAGGCCAGGATCTGGTACTAGGACTGAATATGACTTGGGTACAGACAGGGTTTCAAGGCCCCAAACAGGCACACAGGAGACATTGTAGTGCTGGCTCCATCTGATACTGCTACCTAGCATCACTGATTGAAATTCCATGCTGCACCACTTCCTGGATAACTAAGGTCATTGTCTCAATCTTGCTGCTTATTGATTCCAAGGCAATCACCCAAGAGAAATAGAAATGTTCTCTGTTAACAATAAACATTGCAATTCTGTTTGTCATGGTGCAAATTGAAGCAAACTGGGTGCTGAAAGGAGAGGCAAATGGTGGATTGCAGATTGGTACCTCCATTAGCAGGGGTTACATCTAGTTAACAAGTGACGTTCAACATTGTGATTCTATCCAGTGTCAATTTGGCACACAGGCACATCACTTTAAATCCTAACTTTCTGCCTCATGCCCCCAAAATTTGGTTTTCTTTCATAATGCAAAGTACAATTCAATTACAAGGGTCCATGGGTAAAAAAAAAAGAAAAAACATAAAGACCACCTCTTATCTGTGTCTTCACTATGAGCTCTGATAAAATAGAAAAGAATTTACATACTCTCAACATACAATGACACAGAATAGTCATTTCTATGTCAAAATGGAAGAAACAGGGCACACCAAGGAATTATCAGACCACAGCAACATAAACTCCATCAGTATAAACACCAAATCCTGAAACTTCATATCCAGCTTTGGAGCTCATGATGTCATTCACTGGTCTCCAAAGGACATAGGTAGCTCCACCCCTTCAGGTCTATCACATGTAGCAGAAATAATATGTGGTTCTGGCTTCTACAACATCCACAGATTTTCATTCCACCTTATGCCTCATTTTCAAAGGTCGATAGAATGAGCTCTCAGGATCCTTGGAGGTTCTTTGACTCAGGAACATTGTCTGGCCTCACTGTCATCTGAAACTGTGCAGTATGACTCAGTGACCCATCAATCTAGCATCTTTCATGCCTAAACACTATCGGGAAGACACTGACAAGTTCTGCTGGCTGCTGAAGGTGTGGTTACCCTGGCCCATAGCTGAATAATGTGCTGACAATGGGGAAACACTTCCTTGGAATTTTCATTTGTGGAACAGGGAACACCATCACTTAAGGCTTTCTGTCTTAAATGAATTTTGTTCTTCACAAGATGAGCCCATGAAGAGTGAGATTTTGCCCTCAGGACACCTTTCCTATTGTCACTGTGCTTTCCCTGCAGTGATGCTGATCTCTAATATTTACAACTGATTTTTCTTTTTTGAATCAAGGTGAATGTTTTCTGTCTTGGAAGTTTTCCTGGCAAATTAGTCTTTTATATTTAAATTCAACTTTACTCACATTCAGGACATTTACGCACTGAAACTAGATTCTTGGCTAAACTGTCTCATGAATGGCACCTTCTACAGTTCTCTATGGAAACCTTCTACCTCCCTGAAAGTGTCATGGACTGGCCTCCACTTCCTCTCTCAACATTCTTGTCTTCCCTGTTTCCAAAAGAATGTACCCATAAACTCTGCTTTCAGCATAGAAGGGCTTTCCTAGTCCTAAGGGCCAAACTTTTTCACATTCTAGCCACAAAACACTTCCAAATGCCTAAGAACCATGTGACCAAGTTCATTAAAGAAATGACCCAACTCCTGGTATCAATTTTATATCCAAGTTTACAAGTTATCCAAGGCTTGTAGCTCAAACAAAATACCTAACTAAAGAAACTTAGAGAAAAGATTTATTTTGGCACAAACTTCAAAGGAATAGTTCATCATAACTTGGAGATCTGAGAACACTGAGCTTGCAATGCTCAATGTGTCAACAGAGGGAAAAGAAACCACTAAATGCTTGTACTCATATGACCATTTCCTTTACCCAATCCCTGGATCCCACAGGAGTTAGGTCCTCCCAAATCTTTAGCCGAATCAAAATAATTTCTTTTTATCATGCCCTGAGGCCTGTATCCAAGGTGATTCCAGATTTCATCAAGCTCACATTTGACACTAATGTTTCCATGGATGCATCTACTTGTCTTCAGTGAACAAAGTTAGGCACCCCTGGTCTCGTTCATAACAGCAAATTCCATCCTGCAACAAGCACATTAGTGCACACTACTACTCCGAAGACACTGAGGTTGGTGATGGCAGTGCCTCAGAGAACCTAATGGATGCGCAGTCTCTAACAATGGCCTCTGAGGCTGTATTCTTTGTAGTATCCATGGATGAGACCATCAAGAATTTCCAATGTACTGTGAATGCTCCCCCAACAGCAAGACAGGTCAAAGCCAAGGGTGTTACAATGAGCGGTAATCTGCATGAGTCACTCCTGGTAGCACATCACAGTCACCCTCACAATAGGGTCACAGTCACCCTCAATATTGGTGAACCAATAGTACAGAAATGTTTTATTAATCTCCTATGTTCTCACTGGGAATTAATTAATAAAACTTAAGATTTTATTTTTCATTGCTTTTCAATTAAACAAAAAATAACTAAAAATTAAGAATGCATCATGACCAAAGCAACTTATAGAAGAAAGATTTGGGAATGGTTAGAGTTTCAGGGCTAAGAGTCCATGACAATCATGGCAGAGAGCATGGCAGCAGCAGGCAGGCATAGCACTGGAGCAGTAGCTGAGAGCTCACATTATTATTGATGAGGAGGAAAGAGAAATAAAACTGGAAACAGAATGATTTTTTTAAAAAAGAAAATAAAAAACCTCAAAACCCAGTGTCCAGTGTCACACCTCCCACTCCTTCTCAAGCAGTTCCACCAAATACAGCCACCCGTTCTCATTCAAAGCACCACCTTCATTCTAAATCTTAGTGGGCTCTTTTTCCAGCCAAATATGGTTCAGTGGAGACACTAAGTCTACATTGTTGAATCTGTTCTTTCACAGAGGGACAGGTGGACACCTCTTGGTTCCATGTGGCCCACTTTAAAGAACATGCGGTATTCCTAGAAATGCCAGCCAGAGTGGAGCAGTGCTACACAGTCTTGGAAAACCCAAGCTTCTCCCCAATGGGAGTTCTGGTGAAAATTATCTCTACTATCAGGAGCCTCATCCCCATCACTCCCATCACATTGATCTACTATCATCTCAATGTTGACGATGTCACACTTCATCTCTACCTGATCCCCAATGACTGCACCATTCGTAAGGTAACACTGAGGACCAGAAATGTGGGGCTAAGGTGGGCTGACAAAAAAAACTTAAAATGTAGCTATCCCCTTGTGGAAATTCTCTACTTGGAATGCTGATACAGTTCTATAACTGGAGCCCTGGTGTTTATGAGTCTGCAGTCTTCTTTGCCCCCTCACGTTGGAGTTTCATCATCTACCTTTAACAACCTTCTTTAACATAGAAAGCACAGCCTTCTATGGCTGCATTCCATCCATTAGAAGAATGGAAATTCTCCATATCCAACATGTAACCAACTCCCTTCTTCTCTGTCAGGGACACAGTTCCCACAATGAACATGACAGAGGCCAATAATTAGCAAACTATATGGCAGAATACAAGTCAGAAGAGATCTCTGGAGGTGACATTACCCCATTGCACAAAAAATGTACTGATCAACCAACACACCTTATTCAGACCAGTTATCTATTGTAGTACTGAAATCTAGTTAAATCGCTGTCTGCAATTTCCCTAGGCCATTGATGAAGAAGAAATGAGGTTTCAGTTTGTTCAAATACACAAACCACCCCCAGTAGACTCTCTTTACATTGGCTCACGGTACATAGTGTCTGCTTCCACGAACCTGGAAATCATTCCAAAGGTGAGTATTCAGGTGTTTGCTACTCTACAGGATCAAATGCCAGATTTGGGGCAGGTTACAAGGCTTTACAGTAAACTGAGTTTGGGGAGAAATGATTTGGGTTTTGGGATGAGCAAGAAAATGTCCAAGTTAAATGGAAAGCAATTTAAGGGATTACACAGAAGGTCTGGTGAACTGAGGAACTGGTTTTAATATAGCACAGAGGAGGGCACAGACTAACCTGCAACAAGTCCTGGGTCAAGGACTTTCAGGATGAGCAGGACCTTCAGGATGAGCTCTCACTCATCGTGGTTTGAATCTGAAAGGTCTCCTACATGTTAAACACTTGATCCCCATTTAGAGCTAGTGTTTGGGGAGTTATGAAACAAACATGTGAGGCCTGGCTATCAGAAGTAGACCACTAGTGGAAGGCCTTGAGGGTTATAGTGACACCCTGCTCCTCACCTCAGACTTGAATTCCAGATCCTGATATAATAAGCTGTGTCACAAGCTCCTGTCACAAAGAACATAGCCCCAGTTCACATGCATTCCCCACCATAAAACTAAACAACAACATAAGCCCTCCCTTAAGCTGTTTCCTACCCTGTTATTTCAGAGTGATGAGAAAAGGAATAGTATGTGGGTCCCAGCTGGACCTATTAACATTCTCCATATCTTCTGTTGTTACACCTTTCCATGTCCCCTTCCACAATGTTCCAGTCTTCTGGATAAAGATCTGCATTCAAAGTCTATGAGTTAACTCAATGCAAAAGACACTCAATATCTAAGCCAGTGTCTACTATGGTGTGCAAGAATAATTTAGTACAGGGGTGTGGAAAGCGCTTGTTCTCTTGAGTAGAGGCTTCTGAAACAGAGTCTCTTCTGCCCCCCTTCAGGAACTGGAGTTGTGCTATAGGAGCCCTGGGGAATCCCAGCTCTTCTCTGAGATCTATGTTGGGCACATGGATTCAGGATTTAAACTCCAAATAAGAGACAAGAAGAATAGGAATCACATATGGGAAGCATTGCTGAAACCAGGTAAAATTCGTTTAGATACAGATACCTCAAAACGCTGAAAAAGGCAATGAGTGGGGAAATGTGTGCTGTCGTTAATTCTTGGTGTCTTGAAAAACCCAGATTAGTTATGTGGCTTTTGCTAGACCTAAACAGATGGATAGGGTTAGAGTGAGAGCAAAGGGGAGAAGAGCAAGAAAAGGTGAAGAAAAGGAGAACAGAAGAGAAGAAGGGACAGAGGACAGGAAGAGAGGAGAGAAGAAAGAGAAGGAAGAGGTAGAAAGCCAATGCAATATATTCTATTCCAGGAGTTGCCTCCAGTGGCCCAATTTCTTCAACTCTGCACTCTCATGGCTTCCAATACCATTCTCAGTGCTCATACAATAATGAGTGAACTAGTGTATGTGTTCATTCATCACACCACAGTCCTCATGACAGTCACCCCCAATTACTCCTACAGAAACAATCTTTCAACATATGATCATGAAACATGTCACATCCAAACAACCGCATGTCCTAAGCCCCATTTTCTCAGTCCTGCATTGTGATTTCTACTCACAAACACCCTTGAAATGACAGATTTTGAGATGCACAAAACATCTAGTAACAGTTTAAATTTAAATGTGAACAATGAAAATGAGGGAATTTCCATCATGAGATTCTCAATCTTAAATCTACACATATTTTTATAATTCTTTTTTTGTTTTTACAATTATATACATGCATGCAATGCATTCTAGGAATTCCACCCTAAACACACCTTCTCATCTCCCTCCTGCTCCTTCCAGCCCCTCTTCATTTGTACAAATCTCCTCCCCACATTCATTATTGCTTATGTTTGGCATATTTTAAGTAGGATTATCTGTGTGCCTGTGAGTTTTGAACTACACAGTGAAAAGAAGTGAGTTCACCAGTGGGTACAAATGGATTGTATATTTCCTATTCTCCCATAATCTATCATTTGTCAATAGTAAAACCCTAAGAAGTACTGTCCCTGTGAGCTCCTTTCCCATGTCAAGAGTCCTCCTTCTGTGGGTCCAGAGGCAGCAGGTGCAGGTGCTATGAGTTCATGACGGCCATGGTCATGTCATACTTAGAAGAGAGCAAAACCATTTATCCATATTTTCTCCATATCTTCACAACCCTTCCCCATATCTTCTGTCCCTACATTCTTTCCAATTTATCTTCCACAAAGTTCCTAGAGCCTCAAGGGGGTGATATAATTATCTACTTATAGGGATGAGTACTCAACCATCCCTGATTCTCAGTATCCTGCACAGCTGTAGGCATCTGCAGTCACCTCCATTCACAGCAAAGAGAGACTTTTCTGGTGAAGACTGAAAGTGGCCTTTGTCTGTGGTATAAATATTGATATTTACAAGTGAATTGACACTATGTCCATTTATGTAGTAAGTAATAGTAGCTTTTCTCAAGGGCCTATGGCCTTCAAACATCTGGGTTTGTTTGTTTTATCATTTTAAAATGCTAGAAGAGGATTCTATTCTGTTGAGTGGGCCTGAAGTGTAATCAGTGAGCTACTGGGTACTCACACCACAGATGTGCCATGATTGTAGCATAGGATCATCTGGCCTGGTAGGAATGTTGCTGATGCCTTTTTCCCCTCAGCAGCCTGCATAACATCATCTGAGAGTATAAAAGCTTACCATCAACAGGAAGCTTCCACCTCAGTTCTAGATTGAATTCTCCTTACCATGTACCCAAGATGTGTGCTGTCTTCAGCAATGAGGTCTTATCCACTTTTTCTGTTCAAGAACAGAGAAGAATGAATGCATCTGTATAGTTTAGGGAACCCCCAGGTCCTCCCTGCCCAGCAGCTACTATGGAGATATCCCACTCTTCAAACTAACTTTTGTTTGTGAAACTCACTGCTTCTAAGATCTCCCATTTGAATCCTCATAGGATGTCTTGTATTCTAGTTCTTCTATGATTTTGTGTTGGGTTACAAATAATAGGTTTCATTGTGACTTTTAAATACTGTCTTCAATATTTAAAGCCCACCCCCTTATCTCCTCCATCCACAATCCTCTTGCTGTTTGAACATTTTGATCCACAGTATTCTTCTCTCTCTGCCCTCATTTTACCAATATACTGCTGTCCTCCTTTTCTCCCTTAAGGCCCTGCCCTTTCTCTAGTTTTCTGTTTTCCTAGGGTACACCAGTTAAACCCCCAGAACTAATGACTCCAGGATAGAACCTGATTTTGAATGATGTAGTGTTTTTCTTTCTGGGCCTGACTCATCTTCCTCTGTGTTTTTTTTCTATTAGATATACTTACCTTTCATAATGGCATTTTCTTCACACCTGAAAAAGAATCCATGCTATATATATATGCCCCACTTTTGTTACTGAATTAACTGTTGATGGATGTAGTCGCAAGGCCGCTTGTTCATTTTCTGACCTCTCAGACTCCTGAAATAACCACACAGAAACTATATTATTTGAATTACTACTTGGCCAATCACTTAAGCGTATTGCTGGCTAACTCTTATATCTTTATTTAACCCATTTCCGTTAATCTTTGTATTGTCATGAGGCTGTGGCTTATGGACAAAATTTCAGCATATCTGCTTTTGGTGGTGACTCTGTGGCTTCTCCCTGACTCTGCCTCCTTTCTCCCAGGATTGAGTTTAGTTTTTTCCACATAGGTCTACTCTGCCCTATCAGGCCAAGTTTCTTTATTAACCAATGGTATTTACAGAATACAGAAGGGAATCCCACATCCGATGGACATTTAGGCTGATTGCATTTCCTAGCTATTGTGAACAGAACTTCAGTGAACTTGGTTGTGCAAATGTCTCCAATAGTAGAATATATATTCCTTTGAATATATTACCAGGAGTGATCTGGGTGGTGATGCAGTAGTTCTACTTCTAGATCTAAAGAAGTCTCCAGAATTATTATCAGAGTGGCTACTCTAGTTTGTACTTCCACAGGCAGTGTATTATAAATGGAGACTGCGGATTCATTTCCCAGCAATCCAGACTGAATAATCACACAAAGCTATATTAATTACTACACTGCTTGGCATGCAGCACTTGCATATCCCTAACTAGTTGTTGCATCTTATCTCATTTCTACTATTTTACATTTTACCACGAGGTTTGTGGTCCTGTTACCTCATATCTTGCTCCTTGGGAGGCTCAAATATGCTTCTTTATTAACCAATGTTAATAAAAACATATTCACAACAGACATATGGGACTCCGACACTATCTCTCCTTTTCCATCTAAATAAAAAGAAAGGTTTTAACTTTAACATAGTAAAATTACATATAACAAAACAGATATCAAGCAAGAATTACAATTACAATATTTAGTCTTTTTGTATCTAGCAATGTTAAAGAAAATATTTTATGTATTTTATCTTTGTGAGTCTAAAACTTCATATCTAATTTATTTTTTTCATAACTAAGGAAATATAAAACTATAACTATCTGACTTCAACTACAACAAAAAACCCAGAAAAATATAATATTACCTAAGTACACAGGAAGTACATTGTAAGCAACTTCCAAAACTCTAGAATTGACAGAAACATCTTGCTGCCTGGACAGTCACCCAGAGTTCTTCTATAATGTTGGGGAATCCATATTCAACCTAAAAGGTTCATAGTATCTGACAGACTTTTCTGTGAACCAGGAAATTTGAGAGACTGTTTTGACTATATTAGCAGTTTGTCAGTAACTTCCTTCTGCGTCTTGAAAAATGTCTAGCTGACTCTTTCATGAAGCAGCAAACCAGAAGGACTGTCTCACCTTCTTTTGGCAAGTTCAGCAGTCATTTTTCTGTGGTTCCAGCATGTCCAATTTATACAGCATACCATCAGGCAGTCTAGGCAAGAGCAGTTTCTTGCAAAGAATACATTTAAGGTGAATACCATAAAAAATTTCTTCAATGCCCATCCAACCCCCTTGAAGATTTCACTGTAGAAAAAGTTCTAAGTTCTCAAATTCTTATAAATGTCATATTCTGTAGGTTTTTGAAGTGTTAAAGATTATCTATGTAACTGAAATATATCTTGGTATATCTCAAAACTCTAACTAACATGACTATAAGTTTGATTATTATAAATTACTCTCTATTAACCTGTAATTTTGAATTATACTTTACATTTTTAAATGAGCTGTATAAACATTAAAAAAGAACAGAAATATACATACAACAAAATTGACCTTAAATTTGTATCAATAAACCAAAGTCCAAACCAATATAAAGTATTTATTTCTATATCATATTCCCCACCCTTTTGTTTTTAGAAAGAATTTGACTGTGACCATCAACTATTTATAATCAACCCCCTTTAAATGAAAACAATAATTTTTGTGAATTCGGGCATTGTTTCCTCTAAACTACTTCCTGCTGTTCATTGGGTGAAGTATTTGTAGGGTTCACAGAGACCTTTTGGGGATTCTTGTCCCATCAGACCACATTAGCAAGAAAGGAATACACAAGTTCTCATCATCTGTGGAAACAAAAGCAAAACCTCTTTTCCAAAGTAACATATATCCAGACTCAAATTTTGCAGCCAAAATACTTTTAAAATATATATGTTTGTTTAGCTTAGCAGTCCCAAGAATCAAATGTTTTTGAGCATTAAACTCATTAAGGCAAAAATCCCAATAAACAAAAAACCCAAGAAAACACAATCATGCACGTAATCCACTCTCAATGTACATTTTCCATCTTTACATGGCTTATTTTTTTTCTCTAATACTTTTTAATAATTATTTTATTATCTTTATTCCATTAATTGTATGATTACAATTCTATGATTGTACTTTTTCTTTTCTGTTTCCTAAGCCCGTCTACATTTATCCAACACTGTAACCCATTCAGAGGTCTTTTTTGTCTGAACCTATCTTATTGTATATCTGTAATCATTTTCTGATCAGAAGAATTTTTTTAAATGCTAGGCAGGCATGACTAGGACTAACCCTGTTGCTTTGCCTGTTGACTTCACCCTGTAAAACTTGGAGGAATTTGTTCATGGCCTCTGCAATCCAT